TCGTCTTGCCTATCAGATACCTAGAGTACAGACCGGAGTGCCCGCATTATAGAGTAGGGTCAAAAATATGCACTGCACAACAAGAGCGAGACAAATTGAGTGATCCCCCCTTTTGTGTGAACCCACTATAATAATTATGCCACGGGGGCGAGATGGCTCAAGTGGTTAGAGCGTGAATTCACTGACCGGAAGGTCCGTGGTTCGAACTCGACTTCCGCCACTCGACTTCCCCTGTCTAGGCTTGAGCAACCTGGCGGTATCCCAGCCCTCGTGCTTCCTTCGGGTGGCATGGCAGTTAGGCACCGGAAGGGTGCAACATCTGATTTGTTTATTTATTTATTATTTTAATTATGCCACGTCAATAGAACGTGTGCTCAAACGAGAATGTTGTGAACATACGTGGCGTTCTTTCCACGTTAGATGCGTGTCTGGAGGTTCAAGTATCACGGAATAATTGTGATAAGGTGGCAGTGGGCTTTTTGCTAACCCACTTTCATTCTTTTTCCACAGTAAGGCCTCCAAATGAATTCCGTATTTGCGGCAAATGAACATCATTGTTGGCCCTTGATGCCGTCTTGTGAAAGACTATGATATTATACCTACCGTAATCTTTGACCGCACATATCCTTTTGAACAAAGGCCAGAACGCCTAACAAACCAAGGCAGTGGCAGATGTTTTCTAGGGCTACTCCTTCATGCATTTGTCGTAGTTCCAATCAGGACTGGGTAAAACAACCACGGGAATTTTTCGTTTTTAGATTAGGTTTATTTTTTAGGAAATTGTCACCCTAGCAGGACAGAATCGTTACTGTCACGTCATGCACTTTTGCACTCCCGTATTATCGGCACTTTGTCGCTGCATAAGAGAAGAAATTCGCAGGCATGTTTTCTGCACAACGCGGTGAACGTCCGAATCCACGACACAATCAGGGTCGATATACCACCAGAAACCGTCACGCCGTTGACGGTGCTGTCTTAATTTGATAAAAACTACCCTTGTCATTTTAGCATTGTTATACCCGCTGTCTGTTATTGAGCCTATTAGATAAATAAAGCAGTCCACAAGTCCTATTTTCTATTCGATAAGTTTAAGAAAAGTTATTGGTGAAATGCATTCCTTAGCGCATAGCTTGCTTTACTCTGAAGAAAAGCAAACCGAAACTAATAGTTTTCATCCATAATTTACCTGTAACAGATTTTAGTGCTCAAGTACTTATTCACTGCCACCACATTGTCGTAGCCATGGAACGAGGGGAGTAGTTCGGGGTGCAGCTTTTCCTCAGTACTGCTTGTCTTATCCGGAGATGTCTCGGAGATTTCAACCTGGATGAGGTGAAGATGAAAGAGGAATTTGGGCTTTCTTGATGTACGCTACCAATGATTTTAGCGTTAGAAGGGAGCAGTATTAGGTGAGACACAGTCTTGGGTTTTCAATAATTCTCACAAATTTTAGTATACTGCATCGGAATTATACACAGGAACGATGCGACTTTGCAGCTCTTCTGGTCTGCGACCGTTTACATGTGAGATTCGGCAACAGGCTTCACTCAGCTTGCCATACGCGTTCCGTAGACGATAGTTTCATAAAACATTTAATCCCTCGAATCACATGCCATATTTATGTCCAGAAAATAAGCGCTTATTGACATGCCGATGTTCCGGCATTTAATTTGGCGAGACCGTCAGTGCTGTGAAAACTCGGCTCTCTGTTTGCGGGTGGAAGTGGATTTTTGCTGAATTATTTCACATCTTGGACATAGCAGGTAAGGGGTTTCCTTCAAATGGTTCAGGCAATGCGTCCTCTGGCTACTGGTTATAAGTTTACTGCCATTTTGGTTCATGCGCCAGTAACACAATTCTTGGAACATGGATAAATTAAGATTACCATCATCACTGTTGACTCACCATCAATTTCAATTGGCAAACTAGATATTGTCTTCTGGCCTGACCTGAGCTAGGTTCATTGAACAGACGAAATGTTGATACCACCATTGCTTGTACTAACGGCATTATCATCGCTGCTACCGTCATGCTCACCATCGTGGTTTTTATCGCCGTCGGTTTCATCGCCAATAGTAGGAGCAGTAATAGAGTCACTATAATCTTAGTTGTTCTCCAGCGTTAGGTAGTAGTGCAGTGCCAGTTGGTGACAGTACGGTGTTTAAAATCGACGGCCAAACCGCTGAATTAAGTTCTCCCTCTAGCGGACAAGAATAGTTTTAGTGTACGGGATGAAAATGACCGATATGGTGTGTCAACTTAGTAATTTCACGGTTACTACTCATCGAATCTACAGCGAACAGAAAGAACGTTCTTGCGTGCAAGATTTAATTGATGCACAATTTTTACATAGTTCAAAACCATACAGTGCAGAACAAACCCACAATTCTTCATGTTTAGAAACAGTTATATGAAAAATAAAAGCTATTAACGTGCCCTACAGCTCTGATTTACGGAATTCACCACCTTTTACTCTAGTTTCTCTAGGACCGCTTATTGGGACCGTAATGAGAAATCACTGCCATCTGCCGACCTTTTTTTCAGGATAGGTTTTCTCCATCTCCGTGTGTTTTGGTATTCTATAAGTCTGTTAATTATCTGGTACTCTTTATGCATCGTCAAGTATCTCTGCATCAGATGATAAATTCTGGGCGACCTCCGGGTGCAGTGGTCTTACTTGTCACCATGTGGTTCTCCAGCAGTATTTGTTATTTATCCTCAGCATTCTTTCCGGTTATTCGGTATATTCCACCCAGCTTTAAGCTTGAGCCCCGTCGGGTTGGTTTCAGAGTAGTGAGTTGTCGTAGCTATGACTTTTACTTTTATTTCAGCTTGAGCAGTTTTTCACTGATAAATAAGCGCACAGAATAGTTGTGAACAGAACACTCTCATCGTTGGTTAGTAGTGGAGTGGTCAGTGTTAGTTCACTGTTGAATAGCGCTTAGAATACATAGCGCAACCTTACAGTGATTGTGATTCTGAGGTCTTAAGTTTGTTATAAATATCAGCTTTTGAGCATAATCTGCCCGTATGGTATTACCAGACGGAAGCTCCTCTTGTACTACAGGACGCAACAGAAGTGGTTTGGATGCCGTACTGAGTGGGCGACCGGGCTTTAACGCCTGTGGGTGTAATTCCTGTCCATGTTGAGTAGCATTTGTTATCCGCTGTTAGAACTTTCCATAAACAGCATACTTGCTGGCAGAATTAGTTGCTTTGATTATGAAGGTAGCTGCTTTGGTGGACCAGTTTTTGGTGTTGCTCTTGCTGTTTTGTAGTGATAGTTTGGGTCAGTAACTTTCGAAAGAGATGGTTTGGATTTAGTTGAGTTTAAAACCGAAGAAAAGGTCACTTTATAGCTCCCTGTGAACTTCGAAATAAATATTAAGTGGCCCGACCTCTGCCCCTCGACTTACCCTGTCTAGGCTTGAGCAATTTGGCAGTATCTCACCCCTCGTGTTTCCTTCGGGTAGGATGGAAGCTAGGCATTGGAAGGGTGTTACAGCTGAAGGATTTTTTAAGCAGCCTCATTTCTTTGGTCTATGACGGGTACGCGGATCACTTAGTTGTTTGGTAGCTGTTCATTGTTTTCTGTTAGAGAAGCCTTTCATCCAGCTTTAGTCGTTTATTTTGCGTCCGAGTCTGAGTCAGCGTGTTTGTAATGGCCTGGGAAACGGACGCATAATCGTTGTGTAAGGCCTCCGCCGTTTTCTAAACGCCGCTTATTGGACCTTTGTTCACCTGGATTGCAAGTGTTTCGTACTCGACCTAATATGTTTATAGGGGAATCTTGGTAAGACTGCTTATGCCTCATCCGTTGGTAGAATTTCTAAGAAATGCCAATCATTCACACGTTCCAAGGCTCCTCAGAGTAGCCGCGTCTGTTGCTGCATACGCCACATAGTGAAAGTCTAGGGATGCGTGGTCTCTATGGTGGATTGATGCTTAGTGAGAAACAGTTTCCATTGTTAGCTGTTCGTTGATCAGAGCAAGGTCAAGAAGAGAGACAGTGGCCGAACATCGGAAACGAGGGGGGAGTAGTTCACTTGGTTTAACAGTGGGAGCCAGTGGATTAACGTTTAAAGTCGATCCTTCAGCGTTATCCTCACTTGGATGGGTTTTGGAAACACGCCGGACACACGGAAGTTTTCGGTGTTAAGTATGTGGGTGTTCCTTAGTTTTATGTCGACTCAGAGTACTGCGAAGATCCAGTCATCGGTTCTTCACCGTATTCTTGGGTGGAAGCTAAAGTGTTTCAACAAATCACTTGTTGCTGATAGCTTACGAGACTGCAAGAGTGTCTTATTTAGTTGAATTGAGAGATTTTTTACTAGAGTTCCGTTCGGAAGGCTGCAGCAGTAAAGGACATCTTTTTCACCTCGAGCCTTTTCACATCATCTAGTGGATGAAACTTTTAATAAGACAATTTTAGTGCGTTCGTGTGCAACGGTATTCTAGTTCGGTGTGCTTATTAGCCTATGAAAACTGATATAGCATCAGCCTATGGCACTGGAGGTGGGAAGTCCAGAAAGCTTTATTCTGAGCATTTCCCTGGGTGTGGTATCTTTTGGCCACCTGTGGACAGTCGTTTTCATCGGGTGTTGTTGAGGATCTGGAGAGTAACCTGTGTGTTACCTGCCCGCCAACGTCTTAAGTACAAACATGATGACGGTGTAAATGTCCATATCGATTCCGCATGCCCACGAGGAAAGCTTTTGCATCTGAACATGATCCTCGACTTTTACACCTGATCGCTAAATAAAATCCTAAAAAGCAACGTTTTCCTCTCTATGTCTTGTTGGGCTAAAGAAACAACGTCAGTGTTGGTAGTCCCAACGTCGAGCTGAGCGGACTGGTAAGGACTCTAACAGCGCATCAATACTGTCTATATTTCCAAACATAACACCACACCAAAGCAAAATGTGCAGGTAATTTGTAAAGCCTTGCACAATCTGGATTTTGCATCAAAAACTAATGATGGTCGGGGTTAAAAAGCGATTGCTGAGCCTCCTCTCGTTAGATTGACATGAGTACTGTGTACTCCTTGGTGTAGTTTGGACAAATAATTACAAAACGCTTAGTAAAGACACTTAGGCTAAAGAACCTTTTGGTCATTTCCCATTAACGCTGCTCATTGAGGTGGATTTCAATGTATCCCAATTTTCACAACTATTTGTGAAATAATACAGATCTTTTTCTTTTGTACTGTTAGTTTATGATACGTCCGCCTTCTGAAAACACCGGTAAAAAGTTCATTTAGGTCATAAAATGAAGTCCAGTTGGCATAACCTTCCCACTTTCTTTTGCAAAACTCAAAGCTATATTCCATATTTAGTCGGACTGGGGCACCGTTTATCGTTGTTTCGGTCTGCTCTGGCACAGTTGTGTCTTCCACGTCCTTGTTTAGTGCAGCTGGTAACAAGCGTTCGACAGAATCAGCTAGGAGGAGGGGCAGGAAACTCGTCGCGAAATCGCGCAAACCAATTTATTCATTAGGCATTTAATTCTGGCTAAGCTATGCGACTGTATGTTTTTCATTGTCCCATGCTGTTTGTGATTCCTTATTGTAAGCTTCGCATGTTCTTCTCAGCATCACTTTTCATCCCGGAGATCGTGTGACGGTGTGGCAGGAACGGTTTTTCTGTCCGCGCTGTGTTGGGCAACAGGGAGCACCAGTTCCTCCGATCACACCAACCAAACACAAAACAAACGGTACTCCGTTGTCTCCATTGTCCGTGACTGACGACGAGGGGTGCTGTGTCAGTGCTGCAGATGCCAGTCTTGCGGAATTCCCGTCACCACAAGACAGTGGACTATCTCCGTGTGTTACTGGGAATCACCTAGGAGATTCGAAAAATGTTGGCGAGTTTCGCTTGCCCTCGTCCGAAGCCAAATGCATAACTTCCACGGGGAACCCTCAAAAGTCAAAGTCGATTTTGCGCAAGTCTGGGACAGATAAACTACGCGTTCATGAATCTTCGAGAGATCACGGTGGTTTGAGCACTGATTCCGGACTCGGAGGACGTGTGTTTGGTGTAAGTTGTGCTGGATAATTACATTCATACTTTGTACTTGAGCACTGATCCCGACTCGGAGGACGTGTGTTTGGTGTAAGTTGTGCTTGATAATTACATTCATACTTTGTACTGTTCATATTCTTGGATGTGGGCCGAATAAAAAGTGCTGATTGACGAATACGGTCATAATCCCGGCGCCCTGTTACCCGTCGATACTAAATTCCTGCAAGCTCTCCGTTAGTTGACCACCAGTTTGAATTTCTGGTGTACTGATGTCATTTCTGACTACAATACCTACAATTTCGGCTTATTTCGGCATTTCTATGCTCAAAGTGGTTCAAAAGCGGGCAATTTACGTTGTTTATCTGTTAACCAAAATTTCCTAATGATTTTTGGCACTGAATAGTTATTAGTTGTAGTGGTTGTCTGCCTCTCGCCCGTCATAATAGTAAAAAGTCTTGATTATAACGAAGTTTTCCAAATGTCATTTCGATAGTATCTTATTGGGTGAACACCATAACAATACTACGTAATCATGTTGCAAAGATGTAGAAGACTTTTCAGTTAACCTGAATCATAAGCGAGGATGGTACGTTTCAGCGCTCAATCGAATCCTTCAGTCATGCGTCCGGTGTGTTAATCAACCAACCAGTCCATCAATCGTGCACCACTCGTGGAACGTTGCGACGTGGAAATAGTGCAAGGTTTCCCTCGTCCACGTTTTCGACAGACTTTACCGTTTCTGGCTGAAAACAGCATTTTATGGACTTTTCAAAATATTGCCCTGGGACATCTTTTTGTCCGGAAGGCCGGCTTCCTGTAAATAGTTCCAGATTGCCCAAAACCAACTGAGATACTCAAATCCCACCAAAATAGCAGTTTAGTGGTAATTGTCATTGTTCTTATCTCAGACACAACAAAGACCTACAGAGTTCATCAACAACGTCGAGGAAGCCTTGCCTGTTACTCAGTCCGGCAAAATCCACATGGATGCGCAGCCATAGTCTATAGGGTACAGCTAAAAACACTTGTTTCCCACGGATACAATCCTTATTTTCTTACGAGTGGAAGGTCGCCCAAACGGAGTAAGACAAAGGATTGCACGGCGGAAGTTGTGGATTTTTCAGATAAAATCACACCCGTGCAACTAGTGACATAACAAATGAACAATATCTTAAGTGATCTCGTTTCCGCATGGTGCAGTGGGAGAATCCTAGTTGACTTATTTTCTTACGAGTGGAAGATCGCCCAAACGGAGTAAGACAAAGGCTTGCACGGCGGAAGTTGTGGATTTTTTCAGATAAAATCACACCCGTGCAACCAGCGACATAACAAATGAACAATGTCTTAAGTGGTCTCGTTTCCGCATGGTGCAGTGGGAGAATCGTATCCTAGTTGGTACGTTGCCATTCTCATCGGTTAGAAAATTTGAGTGGTTGGTTTTTCATACTATCCGTTGCTTTCAATCCCTTCAGTCCAAGACTCCCGAGGCACAGGTGAATGGCTCCTATTCACAGGAACCGGCCAACGGTGTCAACTACACTGCTACTCCACCTGTGCTATCCTCAACCACGTTGTCCTTGAATAATTCTCGGCAAGTAAGTTAACTTTCAGCAGACTGTTTTTTATCTAGGATGAAACCCAAACCTGTTTATCCTCGAGGCACATGAATACCATCCCGCACACAACTGATGTAGTACACCATATCGAGCACTACAAACGGCAAAAATAGACACCCGGGAGAAATGAAAAATCGTTTGCTAAGGCGAAAGGTACAATTTGCTAGTGGGAAGCAGTCGAATAGGCTATTTTAGGTCCCAAAACTATTATCGACATCAGCTGCAGTGAGTGCTTCTGGGATTGGCAGGCTCACCTTTGCCACAGTTGGCGAAGTTTTCATGGGTTCAAGGTTCACCGTCCTCACGTTAGTTCGCATTTCACTCAAAGACGCATTGAGTCAGCACATTCTAACCACCAGCTTCTATGGTTCGGAGTGACAGGACAGTCATCGTGTTTCCGTCAGGAGACCATCAGGTCACCATTCGCCATCAAAACACGGATTCTTATGAGCTTTTGAGACACGTTTTCTCTTTTCCTGATGTATTTTTAGAGATAAAATGTTAAGTTGCTCTTTGTTTGTCATGTACTTTTGAATATCTCAAAAAATCACCAGTCCTTTTAACCAAGTCCGTGGAATGACCCTTTGTACAAATGCCTATGTGTGTTACCTCGTTAAGGTGTTTAATGTGCGGGATAATCCATTAGGACAAGTGGGTGCGCTTTAAAATTTGTCTTCGGTTGATTGTCAATATGTCCAATTCCAGTGGTATTGATTGACAGACTGTTGTATCAATACGTTGAGTAGTCATCTGATCCCCATATGACACCTTCAAGTATGATCAAACTGGTAAAACCGATTCACTTCACTTTTATTCAAATAACTCTTCAATCCTGTTGAACCAACTCGTTTTCTGAAATCGCGGTTACCTATTTGCGGCGGTTGATCACAAGAGCTGTTCTAGAAGCAAACTCTTTGTTACGATGCGAATCTCCAGACGATGGTCTGTCAGTGTGATGAATCGGTGTATAAACGTGAATATTCGGAAGATGCACTTCAATTATTTCGGTTTTGAGTTTCTGTATTTTAATGTATATTAAACCCTTTTCACTGCTTCGAAAGTGTTAGTCTCAAAACTCTTGGCGACTCTCTTGTAGGCACGAGCAAGCAGACGGTGTTGTTAGTTCCTAGATTAAACTGTTTGTCGCTTGTTTTGCAATTCAAGAGCCTTGATCATTTTTATTCCGCCCCACAGGGTAGGCGCTCTTGCGTGCATTACACGCAGTACCCTCATTCTTCCAGCAATTTCGCTATTTCCACCTCTTTTCGCACCAAAGCCAAAGTAATTTAATTCTCGTGTTTTTTTGTCGAGAACATCATGATGGATTGTCACTCCTAGGATACCAGAAAGTTGCAACAAAAATAAAAGTCATTCGTGCTTATCTCGGTTATGATTACCCGAAAGAAAAGTTGATCTGTTGTGGGATGATAGAATGTGTACGGCTGTGAACGTGTCACTGTTCTGAAAGAAATTCCATTTTCGTTTTCTCGTGTGAAGGTTAGTCATTTGTTCCCTAGCTCCTAGTGCATTTTCGTCCCTCACTTACATCACTTCACCGTTCTTCGCCTCCCAATCCTTTAGAGTCTACTTGGCCGTGTTCCGAATTCCGACTACGGACGTTACCTCAATCAGTCGTACATACACCTGAATGGAGGAGCAGTTTCTCCCAGTGTTGACAAGTACAAGCGTAATCTGTCATCCACCATTCTGAACAGCTCCGGCAGACCGAAACACTTTCACCTCCCAGAATGTGAGTTGTTGAGATTCAGCATGTCTGTCCGTCTCCGGCTCCTAAGATGTCCGGTCACTTGTCTTCCGTACTTTCGCGACTTTGTTAAAATGTTTGCTTCGCGTTGAACTGAGCATTTTCAATCGGAATACGCTCAAACTTTTGAAAGTGATCGTCCTGACTAGCTATTTGATCAACAGTAATGTTATTAATTTCAACAGAAATAGTACTTCGGCACAGTTTGTATGGCTCTTACGTTCACTCTTAAGGAATCATGGAACCAATGCCGTCTTAAAATAGGCAATCCAGCATTAAAAATTCTTAGAATGCTGTGATTCTTTATGTACGGGATTATTCAGAAAGCGTGTATGCCCAGTGCTCCATCTTAACTTGGCTGTTATCCATGTTAAGGCTAATGGCATTTGCTGCCACCCTGATCACCCTTCTCCCACAAAATACTGTAGTTTTTTGGAGCTAGAAACCACAGATAAAGTACGAACATTTAAAGTCCATGCTTAGAGTCGGAAACCAGTAGGATAGCATCTTATGTCCTAGGCTAAAGCTGAAGACGCTTCAGCAGAGTAGTATCCACATGGACTCTCGTGCATCGCTGTCGTCAACTTAGTTTGCTGTGCGCATCAGAATATTGCCGATAAGCGAAACCCATGTCTTGTCGTGGCTTGCACTCGCACTATTATTTTGTGTTGTATCAAATCCTGAAGTTCACCTATCAGTTCTATCAAAGCTTGAAGTGACTTCTGTGGTTTTATAATCTGTACACAATGCTTACGAACGATGAATGGTTATGATACGATTGACTTTTATTTATCCTTTATGACGATTTAAGCTGAGCTTCTCATATCTCGTTCACCCAAGTCAGGTTTCTCATGGATTTTATTAATGCAACTGATGCAATTTTGGTGTACTTTTGAAGGCTTGCTGTTGCGAAGTATTTGGCTACTGTTGTTGGATAGCTAACTTACATCTTTCCGGTCACATCTTTTGCTGGCGAAATCCCGATAACCCGCCTTTTCCGTGCTAGCAACTTGGTGTGTGTCGTTGGACATTGTTCAGCCTGAACCACACAACGATGGCCATAGAGTGACCGTTGTACATCTAATGGTCCGTACTGTCCACAGTGGATCATTTCTATATGTCTGAATGAAGCATGAAATAACATTCCGCCACATACACTCATTGGCAAACCAATTTGCTTTTCACGAGAAACTCAAATGAATCTTTCGCTGATGATATTCTACAACTACAGGCCGCCCCATGTTTCAGTTGGTACGATTTTCGAGATATCGCAGTATGTTTCCATAATGGAAACTACTCACAAGGTTGCTGAAAACTCTTGGGCGATCGGTTTCCCCTTCTTGATTTGCAAATGAGTTCATTTGTTGCAGTAAGTCCAATTTGGGTTCAAGTAGAACATAAGGTTGACAGAAACTCGGAGACTGCGCTTACCTGGTGAGCCCCAAGAAGGGCAAAGCCGGTTGTTGGCTGTCGAAGAGTTTTCAGCAACCTTTAGAGTAGTTTCCCTTAAAAGAAAAGATCAATCATATAGAGAATAACAGCAAAACACAATGCAACAGAACACAGCGCAATACTGTGTGATGCAACACAAAGCAGTGAAACACAGTACAATGTATTCTAAATAAATGCTAGGCAGCAGTGCCAATAAACAGACAACCCGCCAACGAGAACCACAGGCCATGAGTGGCCTATTGCTCAAGTCCCCTATAGGCTCTGTTGGTAGTACTCACCCGGGGACTGCCAGAGCTGTCTGTCATATGTGTCTATTCGTATATGTGTGCATTGAATTTGTCTTATGTGTGTGCGAGCCGCCAGAACACCTTTCGCATACACAACTGCTCGGTTGTCTCCGCTCGATTTGATAGTTATCAGTCATTAGTTTTGCTAATCGAAAAGGCCCCTTTTTCAGTCTCATTTTCTCGGGTTTAAAACGGCTCCATATCGTCCAAATGACCGCACATTGAGCTCAGCGTAAACTTCATGTGACACTGTCTATTGTTTGCGGGCTCCCAATGGCTTCGCTTGATGTAACAAACAGATCTTGTAACGAATGAAAGCTCACTACGTCTTCAACCATCTGTTGTAGCATTAACTCGGAATGGTTCCATTGGCAACTAAAAGATGGCAGTCTACTCAGTTTGACAGGTCACTGCGTTTTATTTCTGTGGTGGCATGGAGAGTTAGACTGACCTGTTGCCCGGTTTGGTGAAATGATTTCATGCTTTTTTTGTTTTCTCAGCCTGACGAGAGCTGGCATTTTTCTCGCTAAACCGTCCAGCCTCGGTATACTTGAACCCAACTTTTCGGATGCTGAATCAGTTTTCTAATATGTTTCTATCTTGAATTAGTAACTGTTTTCGCTCGAGGTGTCTTTGAAGTGAGGAGACCACAGTGGAATTTTACGCTAACCTTGACCTGGATTGCGACTGTTCAGAAGCGAAGCCAACATCCAGAGGAGCTATATACTCTGTTTTCCGCCTTTTAAAAGATACCAACTTAAAGGCTTTATTAGTTAGTTACACAGAAAGCCCCGGTTTGCGTGTTTCACCCGCATTCCTGTTCCCAAAATATTGAACACAAACAGGTCTTGGTCAGATAATCTGCGACCATAGAAGAATATAAGGCACTGTACGCTGTTTTTGAAAACCAGTTCGGTGTAGGACTGAGGGAGTCTTATCTTCCCCAAAATATCTATCTTGACCGACTTCAACACAAGGTGCCTCAGGAATCCAACACGTTAATTTGATTGTTTGCACTCAACATTAAAAAGAACTCATGTTCAGATCGCTTTCGTTTGAACGGTCATCATCCTGTCCTGGCGCGATTATTCCGGTGAGTTCGCTGTGAACCAAGGGAGCACTTGGTTTGAGTTTCCCTCTTAATTAAGCTCATCAGGGGTACATATCCATGACCAGATGGGCTTTTGAATTCCGGACATCTGAAATGCGTGTTACCATTGAACCATCAGTGAACACTGGACGCAAGTTAATTATCACGCCTGAACTAGCGAACATGTTTTACGCCCGAGCAAGTATTGAATGCAGCGGAACGATTGCGTCAGGATAGGAGGTGGGTCGTTCAAGCAAGAGTTTTGTAAACGTGAACTCAACAAATCACGCAACCGTCTACATTCGATGAACAAGAACCATTGCATCAATGCCCTATAACACGTGCCGAAATCAGTAGGTTGTCACAACCTCCGAATAGCTGTTATTCTGTGACTGACAGTCATTTATTCGGATGAGTGTAACACTATATTTTCCGATCTATCAATCGTGAAGTTGAAGAACTTGTGTGAGGAAAAGAGGGGATTACTTGGGCGTGGTCGGTCATGGAACACGTTTGTGATTTGTTCGCCGCTCCTGTGCATGTTTTTGAAAATTCCAGTCATTAGGCTGGACAAAGTATTCAACTGCAGCCTGCCAAGTTCACATAAAACCTTCACCGTTCGGCCTTATGCCCAACAGTTAGCTTAGCTTCCCGGCTCTTCTCCGTCTAGACTACATGTTTTCTTTACGTTAATAAAAAAACCGCCGACGTTTTTTAGTGACTTGTTATGTGATAGATTGCGTTATTGTTTGATGGTGTTTTAGGTCGGTCACCTGCTCGATCACCTAGGTAAATGGAAAATGTGCTCACTCAGAAGAATGTGTGAAATTCCGGTTAACGTCATTCTCAGTTTGGTCAAAATTCACTGTCCACTTGGACGAATAACATGATGATTTTGGTACAAGTGCCAAACACGTTTATTCGGTCAATTCTTGTGGTGATTAGTGAAATGATTTCGAAATCCTGTTTAGGCACGACATCAGACATGCCAATCTTCACACAATGCAGCAAAGTAGTCTGTCAGTCGGGTGTTTCAATTTTCTGCCCTGGATTTAATTTAGCGGAACTGAATTTAAAATAGGGTCGTAGTAGATATCTGTTCATGTATGAAGTGTATTTCAAATAGTTTCAATCGTTTTCATCTTTAGCCCCAATCAACCCTTCCCCGGTACCAAACAGCAAAATAAGTAGGCTGTATTCGCGTTTTTTTCAAGCCGTGAAGAAATATGTTGCTCCCATGATCCGTTTTGAGGAACCCAGAGAGATAACAGATTCTCAAAATTGTAGTCAACCTGGCAGAATGCCATTCTTCCATGGTTTCAACACGACGGTGGTTGAAACACTATCCGAAACTCCAGATAGACTGTCGGAGAGGGACGATACTAGGTGCTGCGTAACAGCGAATATGCTGGTTGTTCCCCGACAAAATATTTAACTCAGTGTCAATAACCTGAGTACCAGTTGCTAACTCGTACAGGGCACCTGTTCTCTTTCACCCAGGTAGCCGGGTTCTGTCGTGCTATGGAATGGAATTTTAGTAGCTCACGTAGTGTATTTTCTGGTCGAATCGTTTGCCAAGTTTCGTAGTTTCGTGGTAGTAAAATAACCAGACTCAGCGACTAACTCAATCACATAGGTTCTTTTATGTCCCCTGAATTTTCCCCTGCTGTCGTACAATACCGTGTCTAGGCACCACCCCTTGTAGCAGGTAAATCCGATAACTAGTGTCCAATGGTACAACCAGCTTCCACTAGGAGTTTTTTATCTCAACTTTCTGGCTCACATCGATAATTGCCTGGAGAGTAGTTAGTCAAACTTTCGCCTGATATTCGACAAACCACTTTAATGTCCTTTTCTACGGAATGTATGATCATTTTGGGCTGTTCAAGGTCAGATGTACTAATGCTGATTAATTGCTTCATTCTTGCCGTTCTGATTCCCTAGCGTTGCCATTCTTTTACGAGGCCTTAGTCGTCCAGTATAAACTACCCGTTACTGTTCTTACCTGGTGCGTGCCTCAACGTTTCAGGCCACGTGCCTGCCTGTGTCACGCGACGCGAGATTTATAAACTCCCGCCCCTATATCGTTCATTCATCCGAAATCAAAGGCCTGGCCATTCAGCATGTTGCCTTTGCCTTTCTAACCTTTGCCTTTC